CAGATTTGTTTTAACACACAGAGAATTGGGGTTTATAAGAGCAAAATTAGACAATTAACCAAACTTTCACTTATGTCAGCTTTGTCACATAAAATAATGACAATGTAAGGTAGAGTGTATTAAACCAAAAAAACTATTTTTCTACTATTTTTGGTATCTTACATTTTTGCTTATATCTGCCAATAGTGTTCCATAAGACATGCTATTAAAATAATTGCAAAATGATATGAGCACTTGCTAACTCAAAGGCACAGCTCATCTATGGTGTAAAAATAAGATGCATATTTTGGAATCTAAATCCACCTGACTTTTTGACGATGCTTTAAAGAAAAAATTAGAATATTTTCTTTTCCCAATTCAAAAGAATTTTTAAAACTATCTTCATATCTCATAAGGTTTGTATGTCTGATGGTTACAGGAGATTATATTTTTTCTTTTGTGAGAGACAACATTTATAAAGACATGTCACTAATTACAGGCCATTTCCACTGGTTTTAAGGAGTAACAGAATCCTGGAATTAAAGAAACTACAAATATCTAAATGAATTTCTAGAACCATGTCCCAAAGTTGATGGGTATAGAGCACTGGGATTGTCTCAAAGAAGCAAACTTGCAATGGAGGATGTTTTGGACCAAAAAGTTGGCATCAAACAAATATTAATTATGACCACAAATGGGTCATAAAGCAAAACAAACACACAACTACAAATTTTGTAATAATTTAATTAGCAAACATTATATCTCAAGTTCCCCAAAAATGTACTTATTATACATTATTTGTTCAAAAGATGTTACTATATCATATTTAGGTATGCATGATATGTATTTTGTATATAATATGTATATATATTTTATATAATATGTGTATATGGTATATTTCATATAATATGTGTCTATAATATAGAATATAAATGTACATATAAAGGAATGTAGAATATATATATTTATTTATTCAATACATGTAGTATCGATTTTGCTAGCATATGCTGCAATAACAAAATAACGAAAATCTCAGCAGTTTACAGCAACAAAGATTTATTTCTTGCTCCCATTGCATGATACACAATTACTTTGCTCAACTCAAAGCAAATAAATTTGAGAACCTGAATTAAGAGGATTATTTTTAGGAAAATATAAATTATTGATAGTTATAATACTATTTATATTGTTCTAGAGACTAGAAAATAAAAAGAAGTTAAACTTCCAGCTAACATTCTTCACTTGTTTGCAAACCAGAAATGGTCAAAGCTTTTGTTCAGTTGGTGTATTAGTTTCCTATTGATGCCACAACAAATTACCAAAAATTTAGTGACTTAAAAACATTTCCTTCCTTTTTCTAGCAATTAGCTGACTGCCTCCATTCCTTGGTTTGTGGCCCCTTCCTCCAGCTTCAAGCCAGCAGTATAGCATTTTCCAAACTCTCTCTCTCTCTGATTGTTGCTTCCACCAGCATATTTTTTCTCTCCCTCTGCTTCCATTATCACATTATGGTCTCTTACCCTAGCCTCCTGCTTCCCTCTTGTGTGGACCCTCTTGATTACATTGGGCCCACTTGGATAATCCAGGATAATCTTTCCATCTCAAGATCCCTACCACATCTTAGTCATACCTGCAAAGTCCCTTTTGTCATGTAATGTAGCATATTCACAGGTCCCAGGGATTCAGACACAGGAGGCCATTATTCAGCCTATAAGAGTTGGATAGTTGGACAATATGGAAAGACATTTCAACTTATGAAAAATTCCATTCTTATTTTACTGGGGAATATAAAGTCTCCACTAAAAAATAAGAAAGAATGATTTGTAAAGGTCCTTTAGCAGTATAATTAGCTCACAAAAACGTTGCTCAACAGAGCAATTAGTTTCTGAAGAATCCAATAAAATGGGAACATACTGTCCGCTAAAGGACTATTCATCTGTAGCTAGTCCCGATCTCTACTTTGTCTTTAATTTATAGAGATAGTTGAATGACAACTCCCATATTTTTCTTATGGCACCCTGCCATGCCATTAAAAGTTTATTTTATGGTGTGGTTTCATTGAAGAGCCTACTGGATCATATTGATAGATTAAAACAAAACATTTGGAATTGAAGTTAAATTATGTATGTTGAATGACCTTGAAAGACCTTTTTTTAAAGTATTCGGTTTTTTCTCATTTCTTTGTTCTTTTTTTCCCCTTTTTTCCCTCTTGTTCCTTTTTACATAATCTTCAATCTATAGATCCTAGTTCAAAGGGTGTCTAAAACAATAATTTGAACTTCCTGTATAATGAAATAGTAAGGAAGATGGGAACATATTTTATTAATAACTTCAGGTCCTTTTAACATTCTCATAACATCCACCAGAAATATTCCTTCCGATCATAAAGACCTAAGTGTTACCCATTTCTCTATCTCACTCTCATTGCTATTGTGAGCCTCCCATCTCTTCTGCAAAGTGGCCCTAGCTACTCTCTTACCTCCATGAAATGGTCCCCAACAACCGTGGCAGGTTCTAAGAGTCCCTGCAGAGTCATCTGGGCCATGTCAGAAATGCAACCACTTTTCTTCTCTACAATTGTGTTGCCCAAGAAACGGTAGAAGGCTCTGACACGACCTCTGCTACAACTTCCTCCCAGTATGTGCTGCACACGGTTGACAGCTCCTTAAAATCATTTCACGTCCCAGGCACTCTGCATGAGGCTTTTCTGATCAACAAGAGGCAGGTTTCCTTGGCACTACACTCTGTCACAGAGGTTCCTAAGGAGTACTGCCTTGGCATCCCAAAATCTCTCATAGATTTTGTGGAAAAATGACTTATTTCTGCTTCCTTTTTCTCTAGGACTCAGACATAAGACCATATGGGTTGGGCAAAAAGGGGACCATTTATCTGAGACTCTGGTCCTGAACTCTGTGCTCAAGCTTCTCTCCCCTTCCAGGCCTGTGTCAAACACTTAGCACAAAACTTGGCACACAGCAAATGTTTGATAAACATGACCTGTTACTATTTGACAAAACTCTCTCTCCTTCTGCTCACTGACATTCCTTAGAGTTCTATAATTAGCCTGTTCTACATAAGCCTCACCTTACATTTTGACACTTTCTTTCCATACATTATTCCTTGCCACCCAGTCATGAAGTTAAATCATCAGAAAACCCACATTGCATCTTTCTGTGGACTTTGCAAGATCAGTGAAATGCGGAGTTGGCCCCTGGATGCTTTTATAATGAGCCCCCAGGTGCCTCTGACATCGGTCAGCCTCTAGCCAACAGCCAGTGACAAACCGCGTCTGGGCCACAATTCCGCGACGGAGCTCAGCAGCGGATTCTCCAGCCTCAGTGCAACTTTGAGGTGTCTGCAGCCCTGACCAGCCAACTTGTCTGCAACCGTGAAAGACCATCAGCTAGAGTCCTCCCAGCTAGGCCGAGCTCCGGAACACTGCACCCCCTCGGTTAACTTTTCTGGCACAGGTTTGTGTCACGAAATCAAGAGACATCATGCGCAGGCAGGGATGGGAAGGCAGGCTGCGCTGGTGCACCGCGCTCGCTGGAACTTCTGCACGCACCCAACTGTGCGTGAGTGACAGGGACACCACCTGGAGCGCACCGTGCACTGTAATCGCTCGTTTATTCTCTGCACTTGTCTGTGTTTCCAGGCTCCGTGAGCGCATAGGAATTCTCACCTCCAGGGGTTGCTGAGGACAAACACTGAGTTAATTCATGAAAAGCTCTTAGCCCAGTGACTGGCTTTTTCTAAACTCACGGCGTCAGGTATTATCTTTAGAAAGTAAAACTGAAAAGGGAGAAGAGGCCGTGTCCTTCCCGGAGCCGGTGCGCGGCGGCTCCCAGCCCCGCGGGGCTGCAGCGGGAACGAGGCTTCCTCTGCGTGCGGGCCCCCCGGCTATAAAACTCCGTCCTAATCACTATTGCTCTTTTTGATCGGTGATACCCACCCCCTGCTACGTGCCAGCTGCTGAGGTTGCAACACTGCTCGCGTCAGACAGGCCCCGTGTCTGCACGGCGAGCGCGCGGCGCCGCGGGGCTGTGCTCACGCTAATCCAGGCTCCTGGGACCGCCCCGCTTGTGCCCGTGGGTGCGGGGAGGAGAGG